TAATTTAAACATTTTTACATAACATGTTCAAAATAATTAGATAATTCCGATTGATTAATACTGTTCGAGCATAATGTGTGTCGTACTCATCTTGATACGTTCTTAATAGAGATTTAAACAGCAGACCAAAAAATAAAAACATAAAGTAAACAATAAACATATAAATATATAATTATTTTACGATTGTTGCCTTATTGTTGACAATACATTTTTTAGTTTAAGCTGTTGTACATAGCATTCCACTAGTATAGGTATACAATAGGTACATGTTTAATGTTTATTAATTTATTATATTATAGTTTTTCATAGTATTTGCTTGATAATTGATATAAAAATATTTTAAACGATAGACTTGATTAATAACTATAATACGTTTTAATGTAGGATGTGTATTGTGTATACATAGGCGCACTATCAGTCTTAAACTTGGGAGTGCTAAAATGTTTTATCCCAAAGTGACTCGTGGGTCCTTCGCCCTCTTGTCCCCTATACGGCTATACTGTTATACACACCAGCCATAAATGAATTTCACTTCAAATAGAATTATAAATTACAACGTTAAAAAAATCGAAATTTAGTGATACTGATTTTCAATAAAAAATCTTTTTTTGACCGATGTATTTTAACCAATTATTACAACCACTATTCATTCTTCGACGAACAAGGGATGTAATTAGGGTCATCCACATTTTCACTACTTTCATCATTTTTGTTTTTTTATTTGTTTTATTTAATTTAAACATACTGAACATATTTTAATAGGAAATATATGTTCGTGGCATTAGTGCATTACCAATACAAACTGAAATAAACTCATTCTTATAAACTCAAAACTACACTTAAACAATATTTTTAACTCAAAGTAATCTGGGGGTGCTAATTAAGGACCAATGTATGTGCGCTAATGTGAGGATATAGAATATTTTAAGCCGGAAAAGTTTATTTTTATGGAATGGAGACAAATATTATAATATAGTGTTATTATTAAACAGTCGCATGTTAAAATTGATTTTATAAGATTTAATCGGTGGTGTTTTAAATTTGTTTTTCATATGTAGACATACACGTCCCACACAATAATATAATGTTATATATATAGCGATTTTTTTAAGTATGCTCGCTCTATTTTTGTTCTTAAATTATGCAAAAATTCAAATTCTGATTTATAAAATGCTTAAATACATCTAAAGACCATATTTTCGAGTTTTTTATACCACTTAAAATGATTCTGTGATAATATAAAATTCTGTTTTCAAATAAAAACCCCTTTTTTCACTTTTAATTATCCATCAGATATTTTTTGATTGCGCATTTTTATGTATCTAAATCAAAATTCGAACGAATGGTTTTTAAGTTTTTTTTTAACTTTGTGTACTTATAACACCTAAGGATAATATATTATTACGTATATGGTAATGAGTTAATAAGTAAATATGAGAGCTTTGATGATTTGAAAGTGTTAGTAACTATGGTACCTACTATTGATTTATCAATATATAAATAATTTGTAAAAATTATCAACTATACCTAGTACCTAAATATTACATTAAAACATTTTATATTAGGTATATATAGTTTATATTTTTTGAAAACTATTTTTAAGGGTTATTATCCTTAATATGAACATTTTAATAACTCTGAAACTATCCACTAGAATTTTGATATAGGCACTTCAAAATTTTCACAAAAATCACCCTTTAAATAATTTGTAGTAAAGAAGGGGGTCCACGTTTGAAAAATAGATGTTTGAATCGCCACAAGACATTCTTTAAGTGGTACAAAAAATACCAGATATTTTAAAATATGGTCTTTAGTTATACTTAAAATGTATGAAAATTAGAGTTTGAATAAATGATGCACTATTCCTTGAAAAATAGGGGCGAGCACGCATAAAAAAATCGCCTTTTTGTATACCTACGTTTCTGTAAATAAGAGACCATAGATATTAAATCTGTAGGTATAAAATATGGTGTGCACGTTGGCTTAACTTTTTATTGAAAACGGAGCGTGGAATAGTACACGGAATGTTTATTACACATTCAAGTATAAAAAAATGTTCGATAAGTCAACTACATAGCACGAATTTCTATTTTAGAAGAATCAATATATTATGCGGTCATATTATAATATTGTAAAAAATAAGTAATTCGTAAATTGTGTACTACTTATTAAAAAAATTTAAAGATTCTTGAAATAGGAATTGGTATAAATTTATGATGGTATGTCAGATTGAAAATTAATTTTCAATACAACTGAGATTAAGTGACTATTTTGCATTAAAAACAATATTATTACAATAACGAAAACAATAATTGCACCAATGTATTATTTATTAAAATTTTAATTTTTGGAATTTTCATGTAAATGTAAGTTAGAATATAAGTACCATATAATATTTCCAAATAATTAATATTTAAAGAATGTCCTGTGTTGTGGTACGAATTACAATTTTTTCAAATGTGATCCACCTTTTTTTATTGTGAGTTGTTTTAGAAATTATGAATTTTTTGAAAATATTGATGTATAATTTGTATATAAATTGAAATATGAACCAGTATTTTCTGAGTTATTAAAATTGCAGTGCAAATAACTATAAGGGCAATAGTCCACGATAATAGGTTTTAAAGATATAGGAGCTTTAATGATTTGAAAATTATATAGTAAATAACAAAATTGATTAAAATTTTATAATTTGTAAAATTGTCCGAGTATTATAATAGTAATAAACTAATACTGGGTTGTATAAAAAAATAATTTAATTGTTCAATAAAATAAAAACTAATGAACTAATCATGGGCCACTAAATCATGTTTAAGGACCATTAGCTCTCTATTGATTCAATAAAACATGCTATTTTATGTTTATGTATACCATTAGTAAATAATTGTGGAGTAAGGAGTATTAATATACTCTTATTATTCAGTAGATACTGGCACATTAATAACTTAGAAACTACTTGTTTGAATTAAAATTTTAAAAAACATCAATATTCAAAATAAAAAAAAATCATCCACTTAACAATTTACAGTAAAAAATATAGTCACCTACTGAATAATTTTTAATTTTTAAATTTTATAAAAATCTAAGTTCTTAAAAATGATATGGTCAAAATAAAAATAATTAAACATATTTTAAATAAATGCATTATGAAATTATATCCTTTGGGAAAGTGTGGCTGGTGAATTATCCTGTTTATGACGGTTTTAAGCAGACCCACAGTTTTCTTTTCCTTTTGGATTAATTTATAAACCCGAGCTCATCTGATCCCGCATATTGTTACATATTATACAATTTTTGGTGAATTCCTCTATATGCTTTTACAACAATAAGTTAATTAATTTACATTTACGTTGTACAGAACCTTAAACGTACATGTTTTTTGTTTTTATATTTTAACCGATAAACGTTTGTAATGATATGACAATAGATTTTGTAATCAAGGAATGTAAGTTAAATGATTATATCTATAGTTGATTTTGTACGATTTATGTAATTACATGAAATATGTTTCTTGTTTCGTACACTACTACAAAAACACAGAGAAAGAGAAAGAAAAAGAGTGAAATTTACTTTGATGTACTCTAAGAGTAATTATTTTTTTTAAAGGCAAACCCCTATGTAGTATGTTCACTTATTATGATATCATATTATAGTCATAAACAGGATATTATGTGTATCGGGTATGTTATGTTATGTACATACAAGGCAGAAAAAACTGATAAATGTATTAACTTTCATTACAATCAGAGCATCATTTTTTTTTTTGATCTTTGATAATTATAAATATTAAAACAATTAAAAAATATCGATCGAAATACAATTTATTACAATGTAGTTTGTTTATTATATTGTCCAGAACTTTTTGTTACAACCTGTGTGTATATATGTATATATATACAAAATATAAAAATAGTGGCTTGGCGTGGCGCGTCGGCTGCTACCAGGGAGTAAGTAACGGCCACAACTACTAGCTCCCGGATGGGTGACCACCCGGGTTCAGGTGTTCGGGGTTTTGTTTTTCAACAGAGTAGTTTTTCAAGTAGCTAAACTAAATATTGTAATTTCATGTGTACATATGTGTATGAATACATTATTATGTTAAAATAATTTACTAAATATATATATTAGGATAATAATTACGTTTTATGAGAAATTAATTAATTAATCATAACAATATTATATATCATACCTAGCCACTTAGGTAATGGTATTAGCTTACGCCCCAGCACATCGTCCACGAAATCAGTTAAATATAATGTAGGTAATTACGTATACGGATGGAATGTTATCGAGTTTATAATTTAATTAATGTTATTATGTAGGTAAATAACTGCTGTACCTATATGACGACAAATAATGATAATATTATATTATACTGTATTGTACATTTTATACACAAACCTCGGCGAATTGCCAAAGTGTGGCTATATGAGTGCACTGTGCACTATTACTCTTGTGAAATGGATAACAAAGAGCGGCGGGTGTATGGCACAATCGAATACAACAAATATTGCAATAATCGTGCATATAATATAGGTAAAATATAATAACCATGAATAAATGATATGAACAAGACGTATATTACAATAATAATAAAAATAATATAATGTAGTATGATTTGAACCGATAACAAAAAAATCTCATTTCAACTAGAAAAATATAAAAAATTATTTTTATTGTGATGTCGACCGGGGAAAAAACTATTTTTGAACTATTATTTTTATACATTTGTTATTAAACTGCACCTGTACCCATAGGATTAGAATGCATTTCTTAGAAAATCTACATCTTAAAATAAAAAACTTTTTAGAAAAATTATATTTTAGAATACAAATTATTGTTACTAGTGTGGAATTACGATAAAGTTCCATTTCTGTGATCGAGAGTTGACGAGGAACATCAAAATACAAATTTTGAAATATAATACTGCGTTCTAATTTTTTTTTTTATTTATTAATAAAAATGAATATACCAGAAATATAATATTATGATTCTTTTACAGTGCTAATATAGTTTTATTTGTAAATGAATACACATAGGTATGCGGTAAACAAAATAAATATTTCCGAAAGTTTGCATTCTAAAAGTTTTATATTCTAAGACATGGCTTTTCTACAACTTGGAATTCTAACACATGACTTTCTAGAGCTTCAGTACTAAGCATAGGTTAGTGGTTGGTAGGTATTATTTAAATACTACGATCGACGTTTAAAGAACGTAAGCAACGACACTTTTACAGTCACCTAACCTAATTTTGCTATTAATTCAATTTTTTTCGACCCGAAACCGAAGATTTCCACACTGGGGATGTTAATCTTGAACAAATGACATCGATGAGCGGTCTGCGGAGGCTAAGGGTACTATTATCTCATTACTTGAATTTGTAACCATCGCCAAAACTATACTAATCGCGAAGTGGGTCTATAATAGTTTAATAAAACGATTTCTATGATTTTAATTATTGTACGATGATAGACTATGCAATGTAATGCACCAAGTATGCTCACCCTCTTTAATATTGATCGTTAATTCAAATATTTTTGAGGTTTTTTAGTATAGGTGCTTAAAAACCATCTTTCAAGATATTAGGATATTATGTTACTTTTAATATATCCTTAAGGGAGTGTCCCGTGACGATAAGAATCTCTTTTTTTTCAAATAAACATCAGCTCTTTTTCCTGTAAGTTGTTAAGCATACGGGGTTTTTATTTACTTAGGACATGAAGTTTCTTAGTTATTAAACTGTATATACTGAGGAAAATAATCCTCATTAATCCATCTATTATACAAAAAAGTTTTGGAAAATAGTTTTGTCGAATAATTACCATAGCAACCAATATTATTTTAATTTTATATTCTTAATATATTTACACATGGTCAATTATTCGATGTAAAAATCCTGGGTAAATCGGGATTGTGTGAAAATTTGAAAAGAAATTAATTAAAAATATTGAATTTGATGAGGCACCTTGTGTATCGTGTGCATTATATTTTATGTAAAATGTTAATAAATGTTAATAATTTAAAAAAATTATATTATTTTTCTTCCAGATTTTTTTTATCAGAGTTCTCAGCTTGCAAAAAAAAAGATCGAAGGGTTGGCGAGCGAAGCGAACAGACCGTAGGAGTTTTATTAAATAGAAGTAATATTAATTTGTCTTGTACTCATAATTATACTTGAACAGTTTATACGAATATTACAATAATATTCTAATATATTAAATGGTTCCAGTCGGTAATTTTCTAAGGAGTAAGCTGTAGGCAAATTATGTGGCAGGTAAATCCGGTCACACAATCCAAAGTTTAACAACCGAACGGTCTAAAAGTGATTTTTTTTTTTTGACAGGCTGGTATCAGTCTACTAACTGTTTTACATCTCGTCACAGCAGCCTTATATCTTTTAACCTGTATCACTATTTTTCTTATCACATAAAGTTTAATAATTCAAAAATTACTAGTTACTAGAACTAAGAAGTTTTTTTTTTAAAAATCGCCTGCTCAACAGTTCAAGGTTAAAAAAGCCGGTTGTAATTTGAAAAACAAAAGTTAGTGTCACCGCTGCCACAAAACATATTTCTTATACATAAATGACATAAAATAATATGTATTATATTATGTAAGTATCTCAAAATGAGATCTTATGAGTATTCATAAGTACTCAAAATATGTCTAAAAATCATTTAATGAATGCGTCGATAAAGGGAGAAAAATGGGGTGAGCACGGTAGCAGTGTAATTGTATAGAAGAATACTATTTTATGAGGAAAACGAGTGGCTATACAACACTTGTTTTCGACGACGAAAAACGAACGGCGTAGCTTGCACTTATTATATACTCGTACTCGCACAGCGACAATAATAATATTCTATTACGATTTCCGTCTGGTTTCGAGTGTGGTTTCGAGTGTGCGTTCGGGTTAAATGCATGTCTCCTCTTCGGTGCACCGCGGGTTATCTATCTGCTGCAGCGTTTCGGAGCCGAGTTGCACCTTGTTGCTGTTGCAGTTGGCGGCGGCGGCGGCAGAGGTGGGCTTGTTGTCGGGTCCCTGCACGGTCACCCTGAGCAACGTTTTGTAGCACTGCGCGTTCCCGTTGACCGGCGAGATCATCACCATCACGTCGGAGGCCGTGGACGGACGGCCACAACCACCTCCGCCGCCGCAACAGTCGGAGGATGGCGTGGCCGCGTAATGGTGATGGTGATGGTGATGCAGCGGTTCGGTCTGCAGGTTCCTGGTGGACCGGTGCACCACCGACTTGCGGCTGCACTCGGCGGTGCTGATGGTCGTGTTCAGCGGTATGGTCGTGTCCCGGAAGCTCGACTGCAGGTCCCTGGACATCCGGTTCCGCCGGTCGCCCGAGTACCCGCACAGAGTTTCCCGGAACGCTCGCCTGTACTTCATCGACATCAGGTTGTACAGGATCGGGTTGACCGTCGACGAGAAATAATAGAAACAACCGGCGATCGTGTACAGCAGCTCGTTGACCTGCGGGTAGTACGGCGAGTCCTTGGCGTACAGGTAGAGCAGCCGCTGCGCGTGAAACGGCGCCCAGCACAGGAAGAACGCGATGACGACGGCCGCTGAAAACCACGTGGTACATATTATTAAATAATTATGGTTTAATCAAACAATAAATTGAATGATTCATAGCACAACCCCTATATGGTGCTATGTTATAGTGTCATAGGTGAGTTATTCAAAATTATAATCATCCGATGCTCGCAGGCTGTTTATAGATCAGCTAATCTCACGTAGTCACGTGACTAGAGGTATTGCTTATATTGGGAATATAATTATGTTAAAGATATTGTGTAGGAACTCATCACTATAATTGTCATCAACCAGTCTTGTTAACAATACTTTTCAAATGTTTTCAGAATAGGTATTTAGGTGTCATGTGTGTTCGATCACTGTCTTTCAAAAGTATTTGAATATAAACAAAAATATATTTTAAAAGTAATCAAAGTACTTGACAAGTACTATTTTTTGTACATTAAAATGTTTGCATGTTCATCATGAATCTATGCTTAAAATTATTTATAATGATTTATATGAAATCACTACTTATTAAATACATTATTTAATTGGTTTGAGGATTTCAGACGTCACCTACGGTTGTCTAACTTAGTATAGTATACTGTCGAGTTAAAACTTCTGCTGGTAGATAGGTATAGATATACATTTTATTTATTGTTTCATGTACGTATTTGATGAAATCTTATAAATTCTTAAATGTATTATAAAATATTACTTTAAGAATAATTTTAAAAAAAAGGAAAAATTTTAGTTTTGAAATACAACTATAAAAAAAGAAAGTATTTAGTATTCTGGATTAAAATACAAGGACAACGTATTTTTAAGTACTTAAGTACAATTACTAATTAGTATTCAAATACTCGTACATACCTAACAAGATTGTGATCAACCGCTTCGGAGAAGCTAAAAGATTATAGCAGTCAATCACAACGGATGTGAATGGAATGAATTTGATTTCTGACTCTAGTTCGTGTGACCAAGAAAACCACACATAGAACATTATTTAAAATATTTTCTTTTATTAAATTCACCCAAATCATATTTTATTACTTTATAGTATACAGTTTATACCTAAAAATCACATGAATCATTGAAATAATCAAGTGTTATTCAAATTGCAATGTTACAGTGTTGGGGGGGGGGGAGTGCTGAAACTATTCACTTTATATTCTACACGATTAACTCATTCTAAGTAAATCACTAGCACACGAACTACATGTAGTATTTATCATTTCTGGAGTCAGATATAACACTGGAATAAAATAACGAAACAATCATTATTCGGAGGCGCTCATAGTCATGTTACTATTCTGGTTGATATCTCGATTAATACGGCTGTCAAGTAGTTTAGCAATACTTTATTTGAAGATTAAGTATAAGATATGAATTTTTTTAATTTATAGGATATTCATTTGGGGGCTAAGCATATTATTTCAACTCATCAAATATTATTGAAAGTTGATGGTGTATAACGATGTGTATAAACTTTAAATGTAACACTTTGACGATAATTACAAAATATCAATGTAGATCATAGTTGTAACATTCAAAACGATTTAACTTCGAAAGTTGATGTATTTTTTAATAATAATTCGACTTTTTGCGAGCAGAATATAACAAAATAATGAAATACAATGCTAAAAAAATAAAAACTGTACACGTCATAGTGTCCACTGATCATCAAATTATTATCATATTATTATGTATATGGTGACCAGAAAAATAGCAAATTTAAAAATTAAGTTTCTATTATATTAGAAATTTAGAAAATGCTCCACTATCTCCCCATAGAATATTGTCTCTCCACTATGTATTATGTCAATATACAATAACGACGTATAATGTTGATGTCGACAGTCGATACGAGTTTAGTTTACTAACTGAGGTTGTATTTTTACATAGAAATTTAAAATTATAAGATAATTACGCCTATCTACTGAAAAAAGTATAAACTACATGATATTCTAATGACTATGGACTGATAATTTGTATTTCAAAGTATTTTTTCATGTTGTCTAAATACTACATGTCTATGTCGACAGTCGATACGAGTTTAGTGAGAGTGTGTTTTTAAAGGCTTTTGTATATTGAAAATTACTCGAGATGATTACGCTTTCTGATAATAATTGTTACTACAAAGTATTTTGAAACTTAATTAGTATTTTTTTTTTGTGGTGGGCTCTCATTGTTTACCAAATATAAAGGAATTTTCCTTAGCTATTTTCTTTTTTTCCCCGGTTAACCGACAGCAGAATAAAGGCTCTGTTTGAAATGAAATTTTGAAATACATTTTAATGTAATTTTTTCGTAATTATAATATATATATTGTTCACACGAGTTGTCATTATACAAATATGTATCATCGCATATCCCATTTCGTTTCCAATTATTATTGCTTTTCAAATATTTTATTATCGGTTTTTAAAACGTTCCCTATTTTCTCCCGCATAAAAATGACGTTTTATAAAATAAATAACCAAAACTAAATGTGTATTTTCGACCAATTACGTGATTTATTTTTGTAAAAAATAACTACGGGAAAGCATGCATATGCCATTTAATTTTTGTTTTTTTTCTTAATCGAGTTATATAGTCATTATCAAAATGTAGTTCAAGGGTATAATATTTTATAGAACTCTCGTATATATAATCGTTGACAGATCTCAACATTTTTCTGCTCGGGTCATATAAATATAATCTATTTATCTTTTACGTCTGTAGAATTAATAAATATAATTGCAAAAGACGCATACTCTGTACATCGTGTAATACTTATTGCTATTAAAAATAATGAATAAACCACAAAGGAAAAGATTAAAAAAGTAGCGTACCATCATGCTACTCCATATTTTTCATCTGCAATGAAAATCTATGAATCATAAATATGTTTGTGGTGGAGAAATGCTGAACTTTGCCCATGGACTATTTCTTAAAAGATACCAATTGTCAATTGGCAATTAAAAATTTTTGTGTAGATATTCGTCAACATACCTATAGTTATTGATATTAATATCATCACAACAACCATCATTGTAACAATAATAAATGTTATGAGCGTTACAAAAATCCACCTCACAGAAATTGGTCAGAAAATAAAGTTGTAGCCAGCTCAAAAATAAATTACCATGTTAAAACAATCTCAATTCATCAAAACCAAGGTTATCGGTAGATGACCTCGATGAAAACATAAATAAGGGGCAATAGATATTATTGATATTTAGTTGGACACATAATATAATGTGTGTGAAAGTAAATTAGCACTGTACTACTATACCTACTCGACAATATTAATAACATTAATAGTAATAATAGTAATAATAATAATAAAAACAACGGCGATAAAGATTACTCTGCGTGTAATGAATTTGCAATAATATAGTTACCCAGCATCCTGACAATTGACTTTTTCGATTGAATCTGTTTGGTCTCCCCGTGCACGTTGCCCTTCATTTGTTTTCCCAGCGAGTGCCTGGAACTCTGTCTGATCTGGAGCCCAATGAGCACATACAGCACAATGATGATCATCATCGGGACTAGAAAGAAGAGCAGCGAGCTCAATTCGTACACGGGCACTCCTGTCGGCACGTTCTTATCCAGCATCGCACAAAATGCGCTCTCGTACAACGGAAATCCTGACCCTTGAATAATATATATAATAACATCATGTAATTTGGTTTGGTAATTATTATAATATTCTCAGCAAAGTCGGGTACTGCTTGCAGTACGCGATTATTTACGCACGGAACATCTCCATTTGTATTCACGATTCGTACAAAGGCAAATCGCGTTTAAGTTTTAATAATGATCATAATAATAGTAATAAAACAGTTAATAGCAAAATATAAACGTATATCATCACGAAGCAAATATACAAAAACAACCCAATCGCATAATTTTATAATAATGTATGCAGAACAGGTGCAAGGAGATTACCTATTAGAGGTAAACACCATTTTTTTTTCGAAAAATATGAGACTACCATTTTTTGGAAATATCTTTGTTTACATAATTTGAATTCATTATATATGACAACACGCAACACGCATTGTGGTTGTTATTATACAAATTGTTTAAGATATAAGCTTTTTTGAATTATATAGTAGCATACATTTATTATTTCATATTCCAAAGTATAATATTTTTCTAAAAATTGAATTTTAAACGAGTGTAAGTTAGTTAGATTAGTAAAATTATGAGCAGGGTTCGAATTTTATAGCACTCAAAACTAGGTACTGAAATTACGCCTAAAAACAAATCAAATAGTGAAAAAAATTGTAGTATTACAATTGTTTTTTATTTATTGTCTTAAAATAACATTAATGAAGGCATTGATTGAATGCATTAAATATTTTAATTGAGGGTATTTTTCTCATATTTTCAAAATTCCGATAATTAAAAGACACGTGAAATAAATTGAATTCAATGCATAACTATTAGTAAATAACTGCACCAAAAGTGGGAAAATTGCAGTAAAAAAGTCTTTAGTGCTTAAAATATGGAATTTAAAATTTTATACTCGGCGTCTTTGATGATGGCTGGACGCATAAAACACTTTTATAGCTTACTCATCTATAGTTCTAACTTCTATTTAGAACTGTTATTTATAATATAGGTTATTATAGTAATTACCTAGGTAATGTTATTAAATTCGAGTTTAAGTAAAAAGCATTTCAATTGTAGATGAGTAGAGTAGTGACTAGTGTAATAGAATTTTGCGGCGTATCTACCTAGCCTAAATGCCATTTCACGTCACTCGTCTAAACTAGTTCAAAGTTTTAAGTTTTTGAATATAAAAATTCCCAGAATATGAAATTAAAAATATATGCTGTTTTCTCCATTCGTATAACAATATTGTGTAGAATCTGAAAATAATGAATTTAATGAAAATAAACCGATAAATTAGTACCAATATTGGTAATCATTCAATAAAAGTATGATATTAGTGAGACCTAAATGTGATTCTCATGGCAACATTGGAAAAATCTCTAAAAACTCACATGACTCTCAACCTGTTGATATAAAGTGACAACATTTGAATTCATATGAATACTTAGCCAAAAATATAATAATGTAATATATTAATTAGTATTAATTAACTTAATTCAATATTTAAATTAGCTTTGCAGACCCTCTGAGATGTTTGATTTTTCTTTCTTGGCAATGTCAATAAAATTGGAATGGGAATAAAATATAAAATCTACAGTAGCTACTAGAAATAAATTATTTAAGTATGATGTTTGCTCATTTGTTGTGACTTAGCTCTTATTGTTTCTGTGTGGAAAAATTTTTAAATAATACATCACTGGTCACTGCATAGTCCTTAATTAATTAAAGTCTATAGTTTTGTCACCTCCTTGATAGAAATGACTAATCAAATTAAATAATTTTTTCCGACTGTTTTATTAGATTTTCAGAGTATATAGTATATTATTATTAGCTAAAATTTCTCTGAGATTAGATATTTCTGATTGTATCCTTACAAGGATGGCATTTAGTTAATCGAGTAGATTGCCTAATTCCAAGCTACACAATATCCTCCAATAACACTATTCTAGTGCTGTATCGTTTGTCACAGGTATTGAGGTATAAATAAGCATACTTTTTATGTCTATTTTTGATTAGTCGTCTCTCGTATTCTAAGAAACGTAGAGATTTGCAACTGTATTCAAGTTATTTGTAAACTATATTTAATGCTCTTTAGATAATGTTGTATGTCTTAATTTTCAATGCATTTTATCGTTTAGAACGGAATGATAAAAAAACCAACAACGCCTGTAAACTGTTCTTGTGCACTTTAGTGCGCTCTGGTGGATGCTACAAATTTGGACTTTTTGTTTTCTCTCCGGTCGGCTGTGCTCGGCGCCCTTACTTCGGTGTTCATGTATAATTATTATGTGTTGGTTGCTGTGGTCAAGTCAATTAGGTGCTATAACGTAAGATAGAAAATAATGTTAGCCCCCCCCCCCCCAAAAAAAAATACATCGTTGTAATGATCTAATTTTTGTTTTTTAACAACTTCAAATAATTATGCAGGAATAAATATTACCAAAAACTTTAATACTTTTCGGGAAAATGAGAGTGTTTACCATTAGTAGAGTCGCCTTGTAACCCTACACATTACGTACCCATAAAAATCCAACAATAATATTACATATATAAATATATTTAATACCCACAGAATATCATTATTCATCATAAATATATTATAATGTGAAATAATAAAATAATACCTACACCACATTTTTTTAAAAATTCAGACGAGTCTCGGTAACTCGAATTTTTTTTGTGTCTCTTGATTTTTAGGTTGTGTTTAGAGAATATTATTCAAAAATTACGGAAGTTGAATTTATTTTTATTTCCTTGAGATTCGAGTTATTGAGACTGGAGTTATATTATATTAACTTGAGGTATAGTTTTGTTTAATCAGTTTTTGGTGTAGGTACCTATCTCATATTCCTATAGAATAGTCGCAGTCATTTTAAGGATACTTTTAAAATATATTCAGAATACTTATTTAAATACTTGGTGTAATTTGTACTCGAAATATAAATTCGAATACTGTCTTTCAAAAGTATTTAAACATAAATAGTAAATACATTAAATACATTTTAAAAGTATTTAAGATACACTTGTCAATTAGTATTTGACAGGTATATTAAATACCAAAAAACAAAATACAAATATTTAAATACCTACTCAACAATACTGAAATTAGCTATAAACTAATACAATTGTGATGAAATTAATAATAATTCAATTGCAAAATCGGTCAATTACCCGGTGGATAATCCACATAGTCGACCGTGGTGAACATGGCGAACGGTAGTGCAGCGAAAAACGAAATCACCCAAACGACTGCGATGATCCGGATGGCTCTCTTCAACCCGGACATGGCATACGAATGAAGTGGATGACAGATGGCTAAGTACCTTTCCATCGAAAATGCCACGATGGTCAACACTGATGTGTACGAAGTCCTGTACCGGATATAATAATAATAATAATAATAATAGATGAATCATGACGTACCTTGTTGAATACATTGTTGTGTGCGTTTAGGCGGGTGTGACAAATGTAAAGTGACAATATAAATTATTATCTTGCAGGTGTAATTGAACGATAAGAAATCATATGGCATTATTGAATCCCCGAAAAAATAACCCCAGAAATTTAGACCCCTAAAAAATAACTTTATAACACAAATTATGTGTGTCCCTAACACATATTACATTCACTCGGTTTCAATGCCAGTCTATGTATGAATTAAAAATAAACAAACAGTCCACTTTTTTAGTCATAACAAATTTGTATTACATACAATGTCAATAATAATTTATAAATAAAAAACAATTAGTCATTTTTTTTAAATTCATAATACGTCAGTAGTTATTATACTGACAGGCCGTCTCCTCTCCAAATCGTTTCTGTCGTAGGTATATAAAATGATTAACATAACAAATTTAACAACAAAAAATTCGAAGTTCAAAATATATTTCAAAACATTTTTTTCAGTGGTTATTTCGTTGTAATATAAAAACATTATTTGGAGAGACTTAAAATGTTACTTATTAGTTATTACTAAACATTGTACTATACTCAGTGACATACCAATATATATTTAGATTAATTGTAGGTTATTACCTATTTACATCATGAACCTATTCTCATCAATGTTCTACGGTAACTGGTGGGTGTAGTACTGACTCAGTAGTTAATAACAATATTATAGGTAGTCAATAATAATTTAATGTGATGAAATTATCTACGCTATTTTAATAATTAAATATAAATCATTATAATTGTCTATCGTCGTCAATTATCGATCATTGAATTAAAATGTAACACATCCATTACAAGTAAACCTTTTATAGGGAGAGGGGGTGGGAGGGGTTTCTTTTTAGTGTTTTAATTTCTGTGATTATTTTTTCATGGCACCAACGACAGGTGACCATAACATTATATGGGCATTGTATGTTTACCGATGATTAAAGTTTACTTAAATAATTTAAAATTGGTAATTTTCAATAAATATATTCGTTGAACTTGACAATGCAAAGAATTATAATATAATGTTTTATTAAAGTTAGACTACTCAGTTGACTACATGAAAAAAGAAATTAGTTGTATATAAATCTACTCAAATAAATCCGCAATAAAATAATATCACTTTGGGTTCTACCAATGGATGGCCTTCCTCCTCATTAAATTCATGTCTCACCTGTATATTTTGTCATCATATTCACTTATTTCTCTTCGATAGTACAGGTTGTTTATTTTTTTAATAAAAAAAAAATATATATTTATATTTGTAAATCATACCCCACAACTCAAAAATACTCCATTGTGTTTTTAATCATAATTTTGGTTAGGTTTATTTTTGTCGACCCACACAAGCCTATGCCTATCTTATGTATTTGAAATTTCAATCAGTGTAAAATCGTTATATATTATACTTTAATAATCTTTTCTTTTTAACAATGTCGCTTAGGTACTTACATTTCTGAAACTAATGCTCGAAATTTACAGAGAACTTCGCCCAATGGCCATGGATATTGTTGCCAGTACACGCTGAGATCATTAGGCAGTCCTAAAACAAAAAACCAATTTCATTTTTTTAGTAGAATATCAGTAAGGTTAGGTTAAAATAATTTCGAAGGACGTATAAAAATAGTATAATTAGAACAGGGATTTGACGACTTGTAGTTCTTATTTTGGTGTTCTAGAATTTAGCTTATTGAGAGAAAAATGTGTTTTGGGCATATTGATAATAATGTCAATGTAAGTTTTAGTTTGCATCATTTTTTTCAACAAAAACTTTAAATGTTCAAAACATTTTTCATAAGTTGTTGAACTTTGATAAAATTTCATACGAAATCAATTGTTGTAATAAAATCTAAAATATATTGGTATTGACATATTATATAGTTGTGGGGAAATAGAAGCGAAAGAGTATTAGATGAGTACGATGTCGACCGCCGTTTTCATGTCTAAAAATAATTAAAGAGGCATTATGACAATATTTCTTTTATAGTTTTTCTTTGTTTCTGCCATTTTTAAAGTATTATTTTAAAAAAAAGTACATTTCGGGAATAATACATTTTTTTTTACCTTTTAGGCTCTTATAATGACTTATATAGAAATAAATGTTAAACACATTATTGAGATTTTTAAATAATATTTTCATTTTTTATTGCGAGTTGTTTTTAATTTTTCAGAGCATTTAAATCCCAGGTCCGCATATTATAACGTTTATCCTATTATATATCGATAATATTTTAATGTGGAATACTGTACTTTGCTGCACATTTTTAAACAAAATTGAATCCACATAATCGCCTTTTTATTGGAAGCTGATTTTGTCATTTAATAATTTTAATTGCATTTTATCATAGTTATATTGTGTTAATAATTTAATTGTCAATTTGTAATAGCCCTGTACTAATAGCTAATGAAAATAATACAATTCAGTTAAAAGTACAATTCTTTAAATATTTGTGTGAGTAACATGGTATTGTAGTTTGATTTAATCGTTTTATTCGCACTTTTGGATCTATTCACATTTTTTCAATAGTATTATAATATTATATATAAACAGACATCTCGATTTATGAAAAGTTATTTGACAATAGCAAAAATAGTTGTAATAATTGGTTTGAAATGGGTTATTATTATTGTTGTTTAATAAACGACACAAATATTATTCAACGATATATTTTAAAATTTAAAACATTTAATTTATACGTGTATTACTGTTAGTGTTATTATTAATAATTGCGGTGATCACACTGATTAAGTGCTACCAGTATTAGTAATAATATGTACCTATTCGTTACACATTTGCGTGTGTAGATTTTAGTCTCGACGGAGGGCTTATTGAAGGTATAGCAGATATATAGTGTAGTCATCAATATTTAAGCGATCTACATAAAATTTAATTTTGAGCTTAACTATTGGTCCTAACCCAACCATTGAGAAAAAATTTGGTAAGGACCTAACCGTAGGAAATATTAACAAACAATATTGAACTCATACTTTGAAAACTATGGCCATTATCGTTTTGTAGAGGTGTTACGATTGGTTTAGAAACATGTTAGTATGTGGGGCGAGGATTCGTTAAACGCCCGGGCGGTCACCCATCCGAGAGCTAGTGACGCCGGACTATGCTTGACAGCTGCTGCGCATATCAGTGACTGCGACCGCCATCATAATGCTAAACCAGGAACTATTTAACATTCATACAATTTTTATTTATTGTATTTGTGTATTTGTATTACTGTATTGCTATTGTTATTCATTATTAAGGTGATTTTTCTAATTAGTAGTGATCACGTATTACCTGTAGATACTCGTAGTAATACGTATTCGTTACATATTTGTATGTACTGATTTTTGTCTCGATGGAGTGTATGCAGGGTGTACCACTAAATTAAAAAAATGTTAACAATTGGCCCGTCATTAATGCTCCAATGCGCCGTCATAATTGATTTATACATTATGATTTCATGTAGGGAATATAATTTATAAATAAAATAAATATTTTTTTCAAGTTTTTGTATATTTTTGGCTTATTAGGTTTATTAATTATACTTTTTTTGCCTTTTTTTCAAATAATAGTGAAATGGCTTTAGCTGGTTGCTATAATTGCTTATAAGCTTTTAATTCTTTGAATTGCTAGGTAGCTATTTTAAAAGTTGCATTAGTTGTTATGCGTTTCGATTAGAATTATAAAAGGGAAGGAAAGAATATTTATATAGGTTTGCATAGGTTACCTACATTTATATGTATGTTGAACCAACATCAATTTATTATCATATTGTCTAACACGTCTATTGAATATAGATTATTAGATTGTTATAATTGTTATACTTTAAAATTCATAGGTGATAAGTAATAACTGTTGTGGTGTGAATTACAATATTAGAACTATGATGGAGTGAAATTAGATTTAACCATTTTGAGTTCTATTATTACACTCAAATAAATATTTGATGTAACAATATCTTAAACTCGAAGAGGAGTATAATACCAATACCAATACGATTGTGTTACTATATTAAGCAGCGTTCACGTATATGGCCTTCTCTAAATTTGTAGTCAAACTATTGTTATTACGATGTTCTTAATAATAATAACAAAATAAACACTACTAACGCTTTTTCAAAATATCTTATTTTTGTACGCTAAGGTCAGAATCACATTGTTCAAATCTTAAATAAGCTGATTTTGAAATTGTCAACTAAGAAATGTAATTATAATGTTGTAATAATAAATTCAAAAACTGATTGATATTGACAATGTTTTTAATACTATGCATAATTGTTTTGCGTTAAAACAAATTATAAAATTAAAAAAGTATTAATAGAATCCATTTATAATCAATTTAATATCTTATATGTCACTATATTATAAATTAAGATCATGTGCCTAAATGTACTCCAAAATAAATAGGTTTCGATTTTTATCCCCAAAATAGTGAGATTGAATATTTTGAAAAACAATATTACTGCAGTAGAATAAATTTAGAATAAATTAGAATAAAGTATTATCATGATAAATAGTATTTTTATTTTATTTTTTAATCTTTTGCTTTGGATGCAGGGTTTATCAGTTTTATACATTATATTTTAATTATTTATGATAACAACTCGATTAAATATCGATTGGACTTATAACTATTTGTTTGCGTTTATCATAAGTATTATTATTACAGTTAAAATTAAAAAAAAATTATACATAACAATACGATTCAATATTCGATTATTTTTTGTTAAATATACAATTAAGTACACAGGACTTGTTACAATAGTGTGGACTTATGTAAATGTAAAATATAAATATAAATATTTTTGTTATGATATGACATAAAGCAAAATAATTTTTAAATTGAAAAAAGTGCATTAATTATTATTTATTATAGCACAATACTATAATAGGCTTTGTGCAGAGAACACAAACAAAACAACTGTTTTTCATACATTATATTATTTTATTATAGCACGGAATTCAATTTTCTAAGCATACAAATACCAAAAAAAATAAATATCATGAATTTAAATATAAAAGTAGCCATTTTTTTAAAAATTTTAACTTTCATTGTTCATTTTTTTTGTTATATTTCCGGAAAGCTGTGCTTTTGAACATAAATTATTTAAGCTTATAATTTGAACCATAAAAATTATGAAAATAACTATCTTAATACATATATTTTAATAGAATATTTTGTAATTATAAATATATTTTATTATGAGCCCTATTTTATGTTTAAGACTAAGTCCAGGTAAGAGACCCCTAGGTTAGGCTACCTTCATAATATATTTAATTTCTAAAACTGTACACCATCATCATAGTTGTATAAATTATTTTCAAGCTGTATTATTGTGTAATTTCATCATTATAATACTAATTATTTTAATTTTTACCATTTATAAAGTCAGCTAAATAAAGTCATACACAGGAAGAATAAACAGGAAGAATAAAAATATAATTGCAATGTATTTTTACATCGTGTTTTTTTTATTCAGCCAGACCATAGCTCTAATTAGAATATTTTAACAAGTCTACATGTACATTGTTTAATTTTTAATCAATTTAATTGTAGTATAGTTAGGTATAAAATAAGGTGTATAATAAACAAAAGTTATTTCGTAAACATTTTTTACACATCATTTCGAGTACTTAAAATATAATATACCTGATCTCTTAATTTATTTTTTGTGATTTTTGGACCTCACATTTTTTTTCAAATACCGACCAGTAACCACTTTTGTAAGTTTCATATTTTTAATATTTTTAATATTTTGATTTATATTAATATATTTATAATAGAAATATATTAATATTTTTGTATATAGTGGATCGGCCAATTTGTTATAATGGAAAAAAATGATGATTATTTTTATAAATTTAAGAAATATATAATTTAAATGTATTCGATTTATAAATAAAAGTAGGTAACTATAAAAATGGTGAAAAACTTGATGTTTAATTTCCACGAATTTCTTAGAAGTAACTTATTTAAAATTATGTTAAAATTTAAAAACCAACTGATATTTTCACATAATAAGAATTATCAGAATTGAGTTTATAAAATTTGTTTGGATATAAAATTATTGTATATTTCTAATGTTATTACTAGGTGTCGTAATCTTTTTTTTTTTAATAATGTTTATAACTTTTTGTTTATATATTGTAATAGTCGAGATATAATAATTTATAGATGTGAAAAAAAAATTGCATGGTATAATATCTATTTTTCCCACGAATTCGCTGTTAGGCTTCAATCTTCAAATATTGTATTTAGGTATATAATAAAAAAAACTGTATTATAATAGGAACAAATCATGTACAACAAGGACTATGATGATGAATGGGAAACCGACCACCCGACTACAGACAAATTGTTATCATAAGGTAATAACAATAAAGTGGCCTGTACATATTTTCGTAGAACACATCCATCACTTGTATGTCATGCCGACTGAAACCTAAGACAGATTGCAAGAGGAAAAAAATAACAAATCAAACAAATATAGTAGAAGCGTATTACCTACGACGTTGTACTCCAAAAAACGTATTATATACGTAATA